GATTGTGAGGAACCAAAGTGGGTCCTAGGGGAGAGGTCTTTTATTTCCCGAAGTCAAAGGCATGGCATTAGCCACACACCAAGGCACCACTGGCTGTGGCTGAGCATGAGGAATGTAGAAAGGGGATTGAAGAAATTGATGGGGGGAGAGTGAAGAGTTTCCCCAAAAAGTAGGCAAATGGAGGGGAAGATACGACAAAGAAGATGAAAGATTTAGATAAAAAAAAACGTGTAAAAATGAAGTTAATAAAAGAATGGAAGGGATGGGGTTTTATTTTACAATTGAGAAATTAAAAGAAAAGAAAAGTGAAAAGGCCAAACAATTAGTACACTTTTAATCCACTTCTAGTAGCTAGATTTGTTTTGTCCTTAATTTCTGCTTAACTTTACTCTCTGTTTGCTCCAAACATAGACACAGACCAAAGACTTTCATCACACTCCATAGTCCCAGATGATCCAATCCATAATTTAATAAACAAACACCTTTGAACAATACTTCAGCTCACCTTGCTAAGGGAAAAGGCAAATTTTACGTTGGGTCAAAATACAGAGGACACTAAGGAAATGACAGTTTTGGTTGAAAGTGGTTTAATTTGGAATTTTAGAGGCATATTATCGAATGATGACTTGAGTTTTGATTCAACCAATTTGATTCTCAAACTCTTAAGTTTTGAATCGTAGCCTTTAAGATAGGATGGTCAGCGTGGGGACGTAGAGGCTATTGATGTTGGAAGTCAACTAAAAGACTTTACCCTGGAGTTGTCCTACTGCATGGATCAATAGTAGTGTCAACAATGAAACTTGGATTTACAATCTGTGCTTGCACCAAATGGAAGTTAGACTATTATACGCGGCAAGATGGTAAGATACATATTTATTCCATTGCAGGTGACTCCCTTAGATTGGCATGTCTTTTGAACCTTATTTTCCTTAGATATTATTTTTAAGATCTTTCCTTCTCTTAAGATGTGGTTTAATTCCTGGAATTATGGAAAAGACTTTATATCTCATTACTAATTTGCATTAAAGAAGAAACCTGATGCGTCGTGTTTTCATCGGTAACAATCCTTTGACTTTAGTGGATAGTGGAGTGTTGAACAATATTTATGTACTTGTAATTCTAATTGTTTAGAAGGCTTGCATTTGTATGTGTGTGTTTATAAGCAATTTAGCTTATTTTAATATATTATTTTTCTATTATCCAAATGCATTTGAAATTCAGTTGATCATGCCTTTACTTTCTATCTTTACTAGGAACAGGTTGGATGGATGACTTTACGTGGTTTGAAGTACTTGGGGTATTCGATGTAGATATTGGTTATACAATGGTATCTATATTGGTCACTAATGGAAATTTTTGTGTCTCTTGAAACAATTTATTATTGCAAGTCTGTTATGTTTTGGACCATCTAACATTGAGCTTGAACTCCGATCTTCCAACTATCTGAATGTTATCGAGGTATATCTGCTTCATTTAAAATGTTTTAGGCTTTTGAATTGCAGAAAATGCAGACATCCATGTATGAAGAGTTCTACAATAGTTTGAAATTGCTCTCTCGTTTTTATCCACAGTAAACAAGTTGAAAGTACTCCTAAATACTTGAAATTACCGCCGGTCTCCAAGTCGAAGTCTAGGTAACCTATCGTCAGTAATTGGTGTTTTTGGTACTGGGAGTCCAAGGAGAGGTAGCAGGAGTACTAATGCAAATGATAAGAGATCACAACTCAACAATTGGAAAAGGACTTCTAGTAAATGATAAGTCAAAAGCTGGTAGCCTAAGGTTCGAATTTTGGATGTTTTTTGAGCAAGCTTTGTATTATTATTGAACTAGAAAATCATTTTGACCATCGATTTTAAACAATGATGGTTGAGATCATGCATAGGAATTCTTAAGATAGAGGTTGTAAAATTTAGGTATAATATCAAGAAATGTGAATTTTTTTCTTTTTTTTTTTGCGACTTGAAGTATTTGTATTATTTTAATTAGTTTTAGAAATATCATGACTACTTGTTAGTCTTTTTTGTACTTATTTGATTATATGTGCTTGCGAGCTTGTGTTTCCGAAAGTAGCTAATGTATTGATTTCTAAGATGGATATGTTGTAGTTGGATATGATGTATAGTATTGTTTGGTATCATGGGATTGTTGAGATGCTTTGGCTAGATACGTCACTAGTTATGCATCGAGGCTTTGGATAAAAATGGTCGTTGATCGATTTTTAGTCGAAGTGGGCTGTGAGTTCACAAGATTTAGTTGACTTAAATAAAAATATAAAATTTTCAAGTTTGTTAATAGTCTTAATGTCTTAGGAAAAGGTTTAAGCATTCTTCTTATTCTCCCAACTTGTCGATGTAGGTGCTCAATCTCATCTACTCACTCAATTTCTTAACTGACAGGTTCATGAAATCTTAGGTAGGTGGCCACCATGAAATCTTTAAGCCCTTTGCTATTTACAATGGTCCTTATTGACCATTAGGCCACACCATGATGGTTGTGTATTTTTTGTCTATTTAATATCCTCTCGACCCTTTGCACCCTTTAATAGATAGAACTTGTTCTTTTATAAGTGAATTTCTTCTCTTATCTATTTATTGGTCATTTATTTATCTAACTTGGGCATTGTTTTCTACATTAGGTCTTTCACGAACCCAAAAAAGTCGACAATTAGAAATGCAACTAATTGATGAATGAGTTTCTTTGTTGGGGTTGGTGTGTGAGACATGTTTAATTCAGTACTTTGAACTTGTAATATATTGTACAAGCAAATTGGAGAATACTTTGTTCCTATATGATTTCAACTTTGTTATATATAAATTCATGTCTTCGCGATGTCTATCGACAATTTAATTATATGAAATTTGTCTTCCGTGACGTTTGCCAGCAAAATCAAATCCATTTTCTGTGACGTTTTCTGATTGTCACAAAATATAATTTTTCGTGACGTTTTTAAAACGTCACAGATTCTATTTTTATGACGTTTTAAAACGTCATAAAGTCGTTTTTATGACGTCTTTTTAAACGTCATGAAATCATTTTTTGTGACGTTTAAAAAACGTCACGAAAGCCTGTCATGTGACCTTTTCTAAGTATGAATTCTATTTTTGTGACGTTGTTTAACCGTCATAAATTCTATTTCCGTCACGGTAACTCATTTACCATGACGTTTTTTAAACATCACGAAAAGAAAAATTTGTGACGGTCTAAAAGCTCACGAAATCATTTTTCTTGACGTTTAAAAATTGTCACGAAAAACGATATTTTGCATGATGTTTTTAAACCATCATGAATGCTACTTTTCTTGACGTTTTAAAAACGTCATGAATACCTTTCATGATGGGGCATATGTGACGATGTTAATGTCACGAAAGGATTTTGTGCGTTTAAAAAATTTCACGAGAACCCAAATTTCTACTAGTGATACAACATTAACATAAAAATGAAATAGTTAATACACTAAAAGAATGGGGAAGGAAGATTTAATATATGAAAGAGGAAATTAAGGGATTATGGACATAATTGATTTGGGGTCTACAATAATTAAAGATTTATAAAATAAAATTAGGGATAAATCTTTTACATTTCAAAAAAGAAAAAACAATAATAAGGGTAAAATTTTATAAATAGAATAAATAAGGGTAAAATTGAAATTATTAAAAAATTCTAAATAGAAATCTAAAAGTGTAAAATTTGAAAACTTTGGATATTTGTGAAAATAAGTTTCTGAAAGAGCTCGTCCAAGACATTAACTCTCATATTAAAGCATCAACTCAACCAAGTGATCATAAAATGTATTCACAAGCAAGTTCTAGAATAAACATGCTAAGTTTTATCACACCACAAGGATGAAATAAATTGAGGAAGATGTAATGGCTGATTGCTTATAGGTGCAAAAAGCTCATTTGAGTGTGTAAATTGCATAAGTCAAGTGCATTTTTCAATCAATAGATCATGAGATAGCATCATGTAATTTTGAAAAATAAAACAATCATGCTTATCTCTTTCATGCATAAGAAATCAAACTAAAGATGCATTCATAACTTACAAACTATTCAAGGGTATCAATAAAAAATCAAAGTTTCAAAATGGAAAATCAACACATATGAATCACGACACATACTGAGTCTAAAACGTGAAATAGTTGACAAAAATCTTCACCTCCAAACTTAACTAGTACATTAAAATGCAGAAATAGCACAAGAAACATGCATTTCACAACATCCATCAAAATAATAAATTGTCTTGAAATTACATTGTCCTCAATGTAATAAAAATATACGCATGAAGCAAACAATAAGGACAAAGAAAATGAAAATTGGAAAGAACAATACTACCTTGAAGTTAATATCAATATTGCATAGCGCCGACGTCTAGACACACCACCAAAATCCATTAAGTTTGCATGAAACATAAAATGTAATGAGAACAATAAATCTAAAGAAACTAAAAATAATAAAAATAAAAATAATAAACTAAAAATTTTTGGGTTGTCTTTCACACAACATTTTATTTAATGCATGTAGCTAGATAGGGCTCCGTCCAATCAATCAAGGAGGTTGGAACCCATTGTTTCTTCCATTGTCCCCCTCATTTGTATCTTTTAGGCTCATCATCAAGAGTGTCTCTGCTCAAGTATCTGGATCCTTTGTGGCTTTAAATATTTCTTTCTCATCTTGGACACGAAAAATTAGTTCTATTTGCTTCACATCAATTAAAACTCGCCCAGTTGTCATAAATGGTTTTCCAAGAATTACAGGCAACTCATGATCTTCTTCCATATCCATCACATAAAAATCCACTGGAGTGATGAACTTGTCTACTTTCAATAACACATTTTCAATGACCCCATAAGGGTAGATAGTCGATCTATCACTAACTAGAGCATTATTGTGGTAGACTTAATCTCACCAATATTTAACTTCCTGCCTAACAAAAGAGGAAGCAAATAATGCTCGCACCTAAATCACATAAAGCTATAACGAATGACTACCAAAATTGTAAGGAATATAAAAACTCCCGGGAACTTTAAGTTTCCAAGGTAGTTTCCTTTGAGTTCTTGCGTTGCAATCCTTTGCTAAATACACTATTTCAAATTCCTTCAATTTTTTCTTTTGAGAGAGCAGTTCCTTCACAAATTTGACGTAATTGAGCATTCGCTCCAGTGCATCTGCAAAAGGAAGATTAATATGAAGTTTTTTTTTAGATATCTCCATAAATTTTGCACATTGAGAGTCAAGCTTTTTATTTTGAAAACACTGAGGATAAGGTAAATTAATAGAAAGTGTGGGAAGATCAAAGCTAGCAGGCTTTTCAGCCTCTAATGTAAGTGATGCTTCGTGTTCAATTTCCTCTGAATTCTCTTTTCCCTTACTAATAATTTTTGGCTCCTCAATTGCTTTATGATCTTGCCCCTGGAGTTATTCTCCACTTCTCACAGTCATTGGCTTGCACTATTCAATTGGGATCACCTCAATATCACTTGGAAATTTTCCTTTTTGCATAGCCATCAAAGTGGAAGCCATTTATCCTATCTGAACCTTAATGTTCTTGATGGCTGTTGTATTTCCATCCACCTGATCCTTAATCCGACTGGCTCAACTCCTGGTGAAAGCACCAAGTATCTCTTCAAAAGACAGTTTATTTTCAGCTGGATGAGATGTAAAGCTTGGTGGAGGCTGCAAAACATGTTTATTGTTAACATAGGAGAAATCCTCATGATTCTTCAATCTCGAATGATTTTGCAGCGAGTTATGTGCCCGAGTTTCTTTGTAGCCAAATTTCTATTGTTGACATATTGAGCTTGCTCGACGGTTGGCTCCTTATAATAAAAATATGCATTTGTTGCTACCACCAACTCATTTGAATGAAAAGTTCTTTGTCCTAGTTTATACATAGCATTAGTCAAAGCTTTAACTTGAACTTTCAGAGAAGTTACTTCATCAATTTCAATGTTTGGGGAAGAGAATACCCTGGACACGTGGAGGACCCCTATTGGTGCTCCAAGGTGACTCATGAGTCATGCCCAGCTCGGACCGCCGAGATCACCACCACTAGCGTTGACAGATGCTAAGTATGAGGGCCAAGGTGAACCTGGCCGAGGTCCGACCTACCGGGAAGCTCGGTAGGGGCCGATGTGAGCTACTGTCAACGGCGTGATTATCGGGTGTAACCGTCGGTCCCGAGATTACCGGGTGTAACCGACGGTCCCGAGATTACCGAGTGTAACCGTCGCGAGATTAGCGGGACTACCACCCATAAGTAGAGGACCTCACTCCACGATCAGGTACGATGATTTCTGACCTCGAACTAAACTGGGAATCCGACCTATGCTGACTTGATCGTCGGAGTGCTCACCTTTTTGTGCAGGTCCGCCCAAGTATTCAGATCGGTCCAGAGGCCGAGTTCGAGCTGCAATCTGAAATACACTGTTGTGCATATCCTTGCATAAACAGGTTTACCAATACATGTTTTTACAAATTATTCTACTTCTATCTTCTTTAGATAGTTCGTAGTAATCTTTTGTTTTTTTTTTTAAATATCGTCTTCTGCTTTGTAAGTTGTAGTCATTTCAAAGTGGTGAGAAGTATAGGTAATGATAACACGGACATACTCACAAATGTTGCCGCTTAATTACCCAACGACCGTATCTTCCATCAACAATCCACTACTCAGAGGTGAAAACTTCTTTTTCCCTAGATCCTTTTACTTGGCTTCTTGATTTTATTTTATCTAATTTGGGCTTTATTTTACCATTTGAGCCTGCTAGATAATTACTTTACTTTCTATATATTTAGATGTATTGACCATTAAGAGGCTTTGTTCTTTGTTTCTTCACTCATACCAACTTCTATAGCACACCACCATTATTCGATTTCTTTCTTCACTCATCACCCCTCTTTCCTTTTATCAGAAAAAGAGCAATTGGTATAATATATTCATTATAAGTTACAAAATGATAATGGATTTGTGTAACACTATGAATTTGTCGTATCCTGCAAATCAAAGATATCATTTTAATTCTCAAATGTTAATAAAAGGCAAATTTTTTATTTAAAAAACACTAGGATACAAAAAATCCCCGTCTTGGTTAATATTTTATGTTGGGATTATAAATTTTGTTTCCAATATCTTATCAAGATCATATAATAATATATGCTAATGTCCGATATATGGTTCCAAAGTTTCTTTGATATTTTCAAACAAAAACTGCGGCAGAAATTTGATTAATAATAAGTTCACACTTGAGGCATTAATTAATTAATTAATTAAGAGCCAACTTGATAATTAGACGTCTCTTGAGAAGATATGAGAGAGATTCGTCTTGTCGTCTGAAACATTAATTTTTGTTCTGGTGAAGTTGAACCTTGACGGCCGTCGTCGTTCTTGACCCAAAAGAAAAAAAAATTATAAATTATAAATTATAAATAAATAATAATCCTTTGGACGTGCCGCTCTCACAATTTGATTCTTATCATTGAATCCAGTTTCTAGAATATGAGGAAAATTAGATCATGATTGAAAGTGAAGGAAGTTAATCTTATTGGCTATTATCTTAGATTGTATTGGAGTGGAATGAAAAAAAGGGCATCCTTAAATTTATTAAATTAGAAAAATATATATATATTGAAATTTTTTTTTCTAGATCAAGTTGAAAAAATAATATTTATAACAAGTTAGGAAGATAATTTAATTTTGGCCTAACGAGTGATTTGATATAGCACCAGAGAAAGAGGTTTGGTCCTATGTTTTAAACCCCCTGTATTATTTCTTCTCCATTTTTAAGTATGGTCAAGGTATGACCGTTGGAAAAGTTTGAGTGTCTTTAGAGAAATGAGTGATTCTGTCTAGAACCGATATATTAGCTCAAATTCTAAGACTGAACTTGAGTATCAGAATATTTGTTCTATGCGTGTAGATCTTCTTGCATAGTTCGCTCCACAGAGCTTGCTGCATAGCTCGAACCATCCAGAAATTAGCATCAACAATCACTTATTAGGTCTTGTACTCACAAATTAGAGAAATATTTAAGGTATCTATAGAAGATTAAATTTATCATAATTTATCGCTTAAATTTTCGGGTCCGTGCATCATTATGAAGGGATATGATGGACAATATTTGGATGGTGCAAAGAATACTGTGGAGTGCGGATCAATTTTCAGAATATAAATCTGAAAACAAATGATTTAATTAATGGAAATAGAGTTATTTTTAATATTTTTAGATATGTGTTAGTTAGCAGACTTAGAAATTAAATCTCAATTTAAAAAATTGTTCAAAATATTTATTATTATATTTGTGAGTTACTGTAGTTACTAACTAAATATTTAGTTAAATAGCACTTAAAAAAATATTTAGTTAAATCTAACGTAATATTAATTGATTTATTAACGTATATATTATAAATTTTGTATAATTATTATTTTACAATATTATATAATTTATAACCTATTATATTTTACATTTTTAGTTTTAATAAAAATGAAAAGAGTTTATAACATGACATAATATATTTATCAAAGTTTTTATCTGCAATTCTGTATTTAAAGTTTCAAATTCAGTATCTGAAAACATAAAAATGTTGTTTTTCAAATTTTCACTGTTTAGATCACAGAATCCAAAAATACTTTTTGAAAACAAGTATGTCAAACATGTGTTCATTACATCAATTTGTTACAATAAATTTGAAAACAAAAAAATAGAATTCGAATTGACAACCAAACAGTCCTTTTCATTTTCCTCTTCTCTTTATGTGCAACATGAGATGGTTTCAAATGTGATCACAAAATTTATCTGATCTTTTACTAAATTATATACGTAGAATTTTAATTTGCTCACATGTGCTATCTTAATGGGATGAATAGTAAACCATATTTGTAAAAAAATTCAAACCTCTAATTTCTTTTTATCATAATATATGTTTTAATAGTTGAATTATATTCAAGTTAGTATGTTCTAGACATTATACCTTTAATAAATTGTGTCTATTATCTTTGATATATGTTTGGGGAAAAGAATACCCTGGACACGTGGAGGACCCCTATTGGTGCTCCAAGATGACTCATGAGTCATGCCCAGCTCGGACCGCCGAGATCACCACCACTAGCGTTGACAGATGCTAAGTATGAGGGCCGAAGTGAACCTGGCCGAGGTCCGACCTACCGGNCACCTCAACAGAAAGAGAGACTCATCYCTCCGAAAAGGACAGTCACCATCCCGCTCACACAGGAGCTCCAACCAACAGGCTGAATCCTCTCGCAACCCAGCAACTCCTGCAGGAGTGATTACAAGGGAGGAGTTCGACCAGCTGAGGGGCCAGCTCGACGCTCAGGTGGAGGCCTTAAAGGCCAAATGTGAGCAGAAAGAAGGTCCACTGAACGATGGCGACTTGGGAGAATCGCCCTTCACCTCGGACGTTTTGGAAGCACCGATCCCTCCGAAGTTCAAAGCTCCTACCGTGAAACCTTATGATGGGTCGAAGGACCCCAAGGATTATGTTGAGGTCTTTGAAAGCCTCATGGATTTCCAAGCGGCATCAGACGCAATCAAATGTCGCGCCTTTCGGATCGCGCTTACTGGCAGCGCGCGATTGTGGTATCGGAGACTGCCAGCCARGTCGATCTCGACCTACTCTCAGCTGAGAAGGGAGTTCCTCGCCCMGTTCTCTTCTCGGCATTATGACAAAAAGACAGCRACCCATCTCGCCACCATCAGACAGAAGGAGGGTGAGACGCTRCGAGAATATGTCACCAGATTCCAGGAGGAGCAATTGAAGGTCGCACACTGCTCCGATGACTCGGCCATGTGCTATTTTCTCACCGGTCTAGCCGACGAAGCCCTCACGGTGAAACTTGGAGAGGAGGCCCCGGCCACCTTCGCCGAGGTGCTTCAGAAGGCGAAGAAAGTCATCGACGGACAGGAGCTCCTCCGAACCAAAACCGGCCGACCAGAACGAAAGATCGGCCGGGGCAGAAGTGGAAAAGATATAGAAAATGCAGATCCCAAGTCTAAGGACAAGGGATCCTTTTCCAGTGGCCGAGCTGAGTATCGAAGGGCGGAGAACGGACCTACCAGAAGCCGGCCTTACGAACGCTTCACCCCGACCACGATTCCAATTTCCGAGATCCTAACGAACATCGAGGAGTCTGGAATGGAAAAACTACTCAAACGTCCTGAGAAGCTTCGGGGAGCCCCGGAGAGGCGCAGCAAGGACAAGTATTGCCGCTTCCATCGGGAGCACGGCCATAACACGTCGGACTACTGGGAGTTGAAGCGCCAAATTGAGAATCTAATTCAAGATGGCTACTTCAAGAAATTTGTGGGAAAGCCCAGAACCAGCTCGGCAGAAAAAAAGGAAGAGCGGAAGCGTTCGAGGACGCCGCCCCGGCGCACTGACCGACCTGCAGTCATCAATACCATTTTCGGAGGGCCAAGCGGAGGTCAGTCCGGACGTAAAAGAAAGGAGTTAGCTCGTGCAGCCAGGCGCGAGGTGTGCATCATCAGGGAGCAAAGGCCGACCTGCCCAATCACCTTCGACGGTGCAGACTTGGAGGAGGTCCACCTGCCCCACAATGATGCACTTGTGATCGCTCCTTTGATTGATCATGTGGTGGTCAGSAGGGTGCTGGTAGACGGAGGCACATCTGCTAACATCCTGTCCTTACCGACCTACCTCGCCCTGGGATGGACGAGGTCACAATTGAAGAAAAGCCCGACACCGCTGGTTGGGTTCTCTGGAGAATCGGTCATCCCAGAGGGTTTCATCGACTTGCCGGTCACGCTTGGGCAGGACCAAACTCAGGTCACCCAAATGGCCGAGTTCGTGGTAATTGACGGTAGATCGGCCTATAACGCCATCTTTGGGAGACCCATCATCCACTCATTTCGGGCC